TTGGTTTAGATCTGGTTAATGGTGTTGCATTACCTTGTATGTCTCAATCAAAGTGTAATGCTAGGGCTCATATATTTTTTTAGATATAGCGTTTGAAAAACGAAAAACTATTATTAAAATTTTAACCAAATACTTTAAATCCCATGGTTATTATTTGACCACATGGGCCATTTTGGTTACTTATCTAATTATCTTACAAAAATTGGTTAGTTGACAAATTAACCCCTTTAACCAAACAAAATTACTTTGAGGACATGATCGGAAGTCGTAATACTTTCAGGAAAGAAAAAAACAAAAGCGAATGAAATGGAGTTGCTCTTCTAACAGTAGATAGAATCACATAATCGCCAAAGACAGATGCGGACGCACTCCAAATATACGTCTTGAAAAATCAAAACAGAGTAAACATTCCTAGTATTTGCGTAGTACCACACAAATACAGACCTATGTGAGACCAAAGGAACAATCAAAATGAGTCTTTTGTTTGGTTAAAAAAGTAAGTTAATGCATGAAATGTTGATCCATGTATTCATACGACATAACCAAGGGAATAACTTGGGCACAATTTTGGCCAAAAAAAAAGGACAGCACATTAAGGAGAAAATGTAGAATCCGGAGTACTTGAAGGTTTGAAATCTGTAGAGAGAATAATCCTTTCTCTTAAGGGTAAAACACAGCTCTCTGTGATCACATACTCAAGAAACACCTCTGCAAATCAAACATTACCTCCGTAGTTTCGGTGAAGAGATTCCAGTGTATAAAATATTATATGTAGGTCAGTAAATGGTTTTGAACAAACCTTATGAATGCACGATATGGACTTCAATTCAGGCAACTACATTTTAAGAGCACACATGTCAAATGCAAAGAAAAGCCAAATAAGAAAGAAGTTGATTCTTCTTAGAAGGATGGAAGTTAGGTGATATATAAGATAAGATGATCGACTTTATAGCATAACGGGAGATAACAAAAGCATGTGCGAGATGCATATACAAACCAAGAAAAACTGGTAAAAATCTGTGTTCTTAACATCATAGCAAACATATATAAAAGGATAAAGTGACTTTTCTTCTCTTTGTTTTTATGCCGTTAACAACAACTTTGTATTCCTCATCATCTCTACGGCCGTCCTCTGTTACTACTCGAGTCATGCACACAACTTTGGTGGCAGTAGCTCCCTGTAATCATCTGTTTCCTGGTTTAATGGTGAGAAGATTAATACCTAAGTGTGAAAGAGGTTTAGATATTGATTTACGTCTAACCTGAGAAGGACTTCTTTTTGTTGAGTCTATGTGGTGTTTGTCTCTTTGAGAATTGAGAGTAAACTTGTTATTGCATATATATGCGTATACGCTCCTGCATAAAGAATAACATTACGACTTTGACCATCGAATATTGTTACTAATCGAATGAAATAAAACAATAACCCTAACCGGACAATCAGCGTACCGCTTCGGCCAAGAAAAAGAAGATCATGAGTATCTTTTGAAGAGAAAAAAATTGTATGCACAAAAATTTTCTATAAACGAAGCTATCAATTCTTTTTTTTTTGGTCACAACTAAACTAATGGGAAATACACAAAGACAAGGCGAAAAATGCCAAACGAACCACCAAACGATGGTTAAATGAGAGATAAATTGATGATACAAATCACTAAAACATATCATAAGAAGTCGATCAACTAGACCGATCTCGTGAGCTTGAATGGCCGCATCCAATGCAACTCGAAGAGTTACAAACACTGCATCAAAGGTAGAGAAAGCCATCAGCCAGGAGGAAGATCCTTGCAATACCGGTGACGCTTGAATAACCAAATCACTCATCAAAGGAGATGATATTGGTAAGAGAATTTGCTCCATCAAGGAGTTGAACAAAACCATATTCACCGGGAGAGACATAGCTCTAATGCCGGGAGATAAATGGTCAAAGAAGGAGATTTGATTGTGAATCATTCCTAACTCCGACATCTTCCATCCTGCAAAAGAGGATTTTGAGAACACACAACTCTCCATAAAGGAGCACATACCCAATACAACATTAGCCAAATGGAGAATGTGGACTTTGTAATACACCAAATCGTTGTTGAAAGAAACCTCAAAGCAAGGTACTCTACTAAGAAAAATAATATTAAAGTCAACAATGTAGCTTAGTATGAGTTTTCTAGTAACATCCTCACACGGAGGTAATATATGGCTAAGGAAAAGCCTAAGATCCTCATATTGAGGTAGATGGAACCTCCAACAGAGGTAAGTAAGACCTAAACAAAGGTAGGTTTTTAGCACATACTGATCAAGACGAGGGAAATCACCGAGGATACCTTCCAAAGGCGTGTCCAAAGGAAGAGATGACTGAGCATAGGAGAGACAAAGGTCAATCTCACGACTGGAGCCCATCTGGAAACTACACATCTCCGAGGAGAAGAAGAACAAGGATGCAAACAGCCTTACTCCAAAGGACACGACAACCAAATCAGCAAAGCTAGAGGTTGTCGAACCGGGATAAGGAGCAGAGGTTGCAGGTACGTGGAGGATAGACTGGGAGGAGTCTAGAGGGTCGGGTGGGTCTGGAGGGTCAGGAGGAGAGATTACCGTGAGCATATCAAGCGGAGAAGCAAACGACGGTGGATCTGGATCTGGATCTGGAGCGAGAACGAAGCGATGGCGAGACGGGGAGGTGATAGCTTCGACGGAGAAGGATCTTCTCTGGATAGAGTCACCTGCGGCGGAGATTGCGAGGCAGAGATCCATGGTTGACGAGCTTGGAAACGGTGGTCTCGGGCCTCGTGCCCGAGAGAGAAAACTAGGGCGACAAAAATCTATCAAACGAAGCTATCAATTCATAATGACAAATGAAACTATGAATTCAAAATTGCTAAAAACCAAACGAAGCTAATATATGAAAAGTAGAAAGTCGTGATCGTTTCCAAACTTGTAGCTGTTTGAAGCAAGTGACCTAATTCTCTTCTCAACTGTTCGTTCTGAATTTTTTTTGTTCTTCACTATATTGAGGCGTGATTTTGCCATTTCCAAAGCTGTTTTGCTGCATAAATCAAAATCAATAAATCAACATAAAGATACCAAAAACTAAATCAAACCAATTTGCAAACATCAGATGAAATATTAGAATCGAAATTACTCAGTAAAAGGGCTACGATGCGAAGATTAAAAGACACAAAGTGAAAAGGATGGAAAATCGGAATCCCTCGGAGATTTTTTTTTGTCTTTGATTTGTAAAGGACATGGAATCAGCGTGAAAGGGGAAGATGATACGATTCGATTGTTGTAGAGAAATCGTTTCATGATCAATGAAAAAGAAGGAGAAGATCATTCCATATAAAGGAGAAGATTGGAACGTAAAACCCTAGGAAGAATAAGAGGCATGAATTATTCCTCTGATTATATATGTACCTTTGATTATATAGGATCGGCTTGGTGAGCCAATGATGGAGCCATAAACCCGATCTAGGATCGTGTTTTTAGGCGTTATAAGGGAGCAAGTTGAACAAAATGGAAGTTTCGAGAGCGAAATAATTCTCAAGCACATGAATCGTGTTTTCTGTTTGATAAAATTATGTAACGGCGATTTGAGAATTTGAAGTGTTGAGGCGGCGATATGTCGACAAGGTTTTTTGTTTTGGAGATTTGCAGAGAACAACAAAGAAGAAGAATGGGTAGTTTAAATTGGGCTGGACTGGGCTAAAACGTTTGTAATTTGGGCTGGTATTTAGTTTTTAATATGAATTCATCAGAGAAAAAGGGTATGACATGTCGAAATAAAACTTCCTGATTGGTTAATTATATTTCTGATTAAATTTGCCTATGTGGATAGTCTTAGAGGCTTAGAAATCTTCGCCTTTTATATAAAAGAGATGTTTGTGTAAGTTGTACATGGTAAATTGCGGAAAAATGTTTGTCAAGTATGAAATACAAAATTTACATGAAATTTTATATACATGCTTTATTTAATGTTCTATTTTTAATTTTTAATTAACACAATATATATCAATTTATTATATCATACTTATTGATATATCTCGACCAATCAATTTATTATTTAACCATCCAAACTTTTAGATGATACATTTTGTTTTGAACAACAATTTCATTAAAATCGGCCGAAACATTGGCAATACGCAGAATGTGAACAAAAGATAAGAAAACAAACGAAGTTTCAAAGTTAACATTATTTCTATTAAATATATTTTTTTGGTTGAAAATTTCTATTGAATATTAAAACTACGTTTCAAATATGTTTCGAAATCCGGATAATAGTCTTGGATGATTGAATTATTCGTATCTGACTCTTATATGGTATTTTCTGATCTAATACCTAACAAGGAATCGAGTATGGCTTGAGTGAACCAATGCCTTGAGTGAACCAAGCGGTGGAGTGAGTGAACCAAGCAGTGGAGTAATATTTTTATTTGAGTTGATGGAGTAATACGGAAATATACGTCAAACGTGTC